GGCCTGTCAGTCAAGCCAGAGCAGTAATATTTTTGTCCATCTTTTAGAAGCTACTATAAGCAGGACCAAAGTGCCCTAACCTGGCCCTTGTTTGTACGATTTTCGTGCCTCTCGACCTTGGCCTAGTCTCTTTTTTTTTTTTCTTCTAAAGTTGGCTGATGACTAATATTGAACACAAAGCCAGGCCCGTTTGGAGCTTTCTGCTTTTATTCACTCAGTATTTGCGCCTGGCTCATTTCTTTTGGCTTGAGTATTTCACAGTCATCCCAGCCTAGCAGGTTCCCGCCTGGTTCAAGCCAGTTCCTGAATACAGTGTTTTCCTCGCTCCGGGAGTTCCAGTTATTTACCTTCACCAACTAGGGCAGGCTGAGCGGCTTGCCACGGCGGCCTTTGCTGTGGGGGACGTGGCCCCCTTTCCCCGTAGCTTCCCTCCAGGCAAGCTTTTATGTGGCCCCTTTACCGAAAGTTCACCAGGGAAGAATGGACAACCCTTGAGATTTGGGGGCTTTTAGAAGTGAGCATCCTAAGCATGGCCCACTTTTTCCTTCAGAATTCAATCTTCTTTGGGGCCAGGTCATGTTTGCTTCCAGAACTGGATGATCATACCTGCCTTCCAAATTCTTATCTCATGTATTTTCATTTGCTTTTACTGTGTCCTTTCAGATTGGTGATGTGAATCAGTGTTCTTAAAACTATATTTTGATTTCAGAACTCCCCAGGGACTTCTATTCGTTCAATGTGTTAACACATATGCCATCCAAGTATAATGATTTCAGAAATCCAGATGGTTTCTATCCAGAGTTGTAGATTTGAGCTGAGATCTAAAATCATTAAAATAAAAGATGGCCCCTATTTGCTTCCTTCTAAAGAATTTACAGTTCTCATAAATACCAATTACTCCTCTCTAGAAATCGGGATAAGGTATACCATTGATTGTATATTTAAAGTGAGGGCATCAAATGACAACAAGAAATGTTTGGCTGGTTAACATTCCCTAGAATGAGTGATTCTCCAGATCTTGCCTCTGAGTTAGCGCTATTGATAAATAGGGAACAGGGCGCATCTCATTTGCCAGGTGTGAGCATAACCAATGGATTGCCAGGGAAGATGGATATTCTGTCTGCGTAAGCAGAGAAATGATGAACAATAAACATGAATTAGCACCATCTGGGTTGAAATTTCCCGTCAGGAATGGACGTTTATTTAAAAAAAAAAAAAGATCATTGACAGTTCTCCCCACCCTACACCTCAATGGATGCCTTTTAGAACAGCCTACTGAATTGGCTTTTAGTTTTAGTCCCAACTGTTTGTTTTCAAAAGCTCATCCGCTTGCTAACTTTTAAAAAACGTATAGGAGCAACTGGCAAGCTGTTTCTTTGATCTTAGGTGAAGGTTTTGTTCTTGTTGTTTCTAACTGAGCCATGCCAGGGGAGCATGGATCTCTGGGCAGCTAATAATAGCCAGCAGTGGGATGAAGTGAATGATCCTGCCTTTAAAAGGAGCCTGACCTGAAGGCAAGGAATTTACAGGACTGGTAGGGGAAACTTCGTACCTGCTGAAAAATCTCCAGTAGCTTGTAACTAATGTAAAATTTATGATTAGGTCTGTGGAAATTAGTGCTTGCATTAACAAGCTCAAGCATCAAAACATCAGCTAAACTTAGCTCTTGCTAGCCGATGAAGTTTCCTGATGGGCCTGGAAATGTCTCCAATTAGAAGAAATGTAGGATTTGGGCCAGTTTCGCCGGCCATTCGTCACCTCACGGTGGTAATGGTGTGTTCGTTCATTCAGCAAACATTTATGAACTTCTTCGCCAAGCATTTGTTCCAGCAGCAAAGGCGACTTGAGTCCCCACGGCACCCAGGGCCCGGGGCTACGGCTCCGAGCAAGGCAGACGCAGTCCCTGGCCTCTGAGCGAGTGGGGTTTCGGCCTCAAATGGCGCGGGCAGGCCGGGGGGGGGGGTGCAGTGGCCGTGCTGGGCGGGGGTGCCCTGGGGGTGCCCGGCCTCGTAAGGGGACATGCTGAAAGGTAAGGTCGGAAGAGAGCAAGTTCTGTGGGGGTACAGACGAGGGAAGCCGTGACCGCTAACGAGCGCCCTCTGCCCCTGCAGTATGGACAAGGACAGCCCAGACATCCACCAGGACCTGAATGCCCTCAAAACCAAGTTCCAGGAGCTGCGGAAGGTCGTCAGCACCATGCCGGGCACCCACCTGAGCCCTGAGCAGCAGGAGCGACAGCTGCACAGCCTCCGGGAGCAAGTCAGGACCAAGAACGAGCTTCTGCAAAAGTACAAGAGCCTCTGCATGTTTGAGATCCCCAAGGAGTAGTGGAGGCCGGCTTCCAGGGATGCCCGAGACCGAACGGGGAGCGCACACGGCCTCCCGGACTCCCCCTGCCCCGCCACCGCCTCGGACTCCAGCTGCGAACTCTGTAACTGAGGGGCGGGGGGCTGCTGAAGCTGCTTCAGTGGCCGAACTTGGCATTGACTGTGTGGGGAGCCAGCGCGGAGGCTTGGCTTGGTTGGGGCCTCCTTGTAGATGATGTAACCATACGTCTAGGTGCAGAGTAATCGCGGTGCCTGCCGGTGGGAGGAAGAATGTTCCTGGAGGCTGGGGAGCGGGCAGGCGAGGCTGCCCCTGCTTCTGGGGAGGGGGCCATCTGCTGTGTATTCAGGCTCCTTGGGCAGAGCACCGGAGGAGAGGGGGCGGCTGCTCTTGGCTTTCCTGCCCTCCGCCTCTCCGTCCGCTCCCACCCCTGGGCATGCTCAGTGCTACCAGGTACACACTCTTCTGTTGACAGCAGTGTCATGAAACATTTGCATAGAATTCACTGGACCAACCGGGGCTGCACTCCTGTGGCGTGGATTTCAAATGGTAAAAGAAAACCGGGAGGACCCATATTGTTTTGAAAGCCGAATATTGTTTTGAAAGACGGCAGGGTGGCTTCCTCCCTGCCCGCCCCCCGCCCCCCACCCCCCGCAATACTTTGTTTCGTTTTTATATTTGAGCCAGTGAATGTAACCGTGGCTTTGGGGGTGTCAACCCAGAACCCCGCAGGCGGCCCCTGTCTCCATGTTCTCTGCCTCCTACGTGTGCTTGTTACTTCTACTTCTCGCTCCCTTTGCCTCCTGCCTCCTCCCGTCCGCTCGGCCAGCGTCTGGTGCTGGAGGATGACCAGAGCCCTCGCACCCTGCACCCTCCCCACGGGGCTCGGGGCTGGAGGGCAACATTGGCTCCACGTGTTGTCCTGCTTTAAAAAATGAGTTTTCCCCCTGGCCTTCTCACTAAAGAGCCAGCCGCGGAACACTCGCTGCACAGCAGACGGAGGTGAGCTCTTTCCCTCGCCTCTTCACGAGGAGCTGACAAGTAACCACGTGTTGTTTAGATCTAGAAATGGGCACATAACCTGTGCTGACCAAGTCAGCGGCTTAACAGATGCCCGCCGATTGACCTCGTTGGCAGCAAGACTGGCCGAAGGTGTTTTTCGCGGGGGTTCCATGTGTGCTGACCTGCAGTCAGAAGAGGACTGGCGCAGAGGGGGAGCTGGGGACGTGTGAAGGGGGGTATCCGGTTCCAGTGGCTTTGGACAGAAGAGCGGGCTCTGAGCTGAAGTGGGCAGCCGCCTGGTAGGCCAGGCCACCCTGGGACTGTTAATAAACTGAATCAGTTACGTCCTTGACATTTCAGAGTCGTGTGGGGGCCAGTTTTAAGGCTCTGACCAAACTGCGCGAAACACGAAGCACATAGAGATCCAAGACCAGCGGGGCCCTTCTGCAAGGCTAAAACGCACAGGACCTCTTCCCGGGGCAGAGGGAGACAGGGTTTGGACTGGTGACGTTTTTTAAGAGTATAATTAAAAGAACTTGTACTCTGCTCTCAGGACATCTTGGGTTTTGTGCTGAGAAATTCATCATAGGAGGTCTCCCTTGCATAGTTGAGAGGAAGATGTTCATTTTGCTTAGAGGAGACAGAACAAATTGTGAGAGCCTCCACCATGCACCTCCTCCCCCTCAGCGCACGCGCGTACACACACACACACACACACACACACACACAGCAAAGCCAGCGTAAAAAAAAACAGAATAACTGCCCTAAGGAGCGACATCCGTCCCCAAGGACCCAGTTGGCCTGGTGGGTCATCCTGCCCACCTGCGACTGGCCCCCTGGGCCCAGAGGTGAGTTCAGTCCCTAGGGAGCAGCCCTCACAGAGCAGGGTGGAAATCCCTCCCTGAGACAACACTGGATGCCCCTCCTGGGGCTGAGCACCCTCTCGAAGCCACCAGTTCGTTGGATTCCTGGGTGGCGGGCACTTGCGCTAAGTACTTTTCACTCCTCACAGCATCCCCACGTAGAGGGTGCTCTCTCTTTTGTGGGTGAAGAATTGGAGGCGTGGCAGGTGTCACTTGCCCCGAGCTTGCAGTTACAAGTGGCAGAGAGAGCTGGGTCCCGAGTCTGGACAGGGTGCCCTCAACTGCCGAAGAGAAGGAGACACTGAGGCACGGAAGGTGCCAGACCTACCCCCAGGGCAGCAAGTGCTTCCCGAGGCTGGAGGGCACAGGAGGCCAGGTGATTTTGAACTGACACCAGATTGGTCTGTCAAGGCTCCATTTCCCTTGTGAGAGCAGGGTCCTAGTGACACCTCGAGCGGACTGTGAGTCGCAGGGTTGGGGCCCTTTCGCTGCCCTCCGCCTGGAGTGAGTCTGGGCACAGCCCGGAAGCCCTTTGTGGCTGGAAAGATGCAGCTCCAGGAAAGACCAGGACCCCTTTCTAGTCCTGGCTTTCTGAGGAGCCATCCCCAAATAGAAGAAGGGCTGTGGTCCAAAAATCTGCAGCTTTTTTGGAGCCTTTTCTCCCAGGTGGGGGCTGAAGCTATTTTCAGAATGCCAGGGTCATCTGCCAGTCTGGGGAGGGTGAGTCTAATACCCCAGAAGTAATCCCCACCCTTCCCTTCTGACCCTTCGCCCTTCGAGCCATTTCTAAAAGCAAAGCAAGCATATGACTTTCTGTTTTAAATTATTTTATTTTGTATTATAAAAAAAACAATAGCAATAACTTTATAAAGACTGTCTCACACACACAGTACGAACAGCTGGGTAAGAGTTTGTTCATGTCCATGATGACCTCAGAACTACTATTAAAGTGCAAGTTGTGTGTTTTGTTTTCCTTTGTGCAATTTCACACACACATGTAAACAAGTCACTTGGCTATGATCTGACCCACACCCCCTTAGTCTCGGGAGGGCAGAGGCTTTCGTTTGCTGTCATGGCAACCCAGAATCACAGACAAGTTAATGCCCCATTTGTCCCGTCTTGACCCTCCAGGGAGCAGGACAGGTTTCCCAAAGCCTAACGGAGGCTGATTAACTTATACCACCCCCCACCCCCATTCTTGTCTTTGTGAGAAACAAGACAAATTCCCCCTCTGCCGGGGCCTGTGCCCCCAACCCGTGGGGGTGGCAGGGCCCGTGGGGGACGGGAGGTGGGGGTCGGGGGGAGTCCCGGTCTGAGCCAGTTCTCTTTCCTTCCAGAGCAGATGACCGTCCCTTCGTCGTTTGCGCCTCCCCGGTGCGCGCGCGTCGCGGGGAAGGAAGACGCCAGTCCGCGCGCACGCGGCCCGGGGCTGGCCCGGACGTCAGACGTGACTTTTCAAAAAAAGGTCCTCCTTAGGTTCTGTCGCCGGCGCGGGGGGGATTGGCGGGCGGGGGGGAGGGGGCTCCTAGCTGATGACGCAGCGCTCCTTGTCCTTGGCCTGGCCGCCGCCGCTGGCCTTCTCGCGGATGTACATGAGGTCGCTGTGCACGCTGGGCCGGCGCGCGAAGGGCGCCACGATGCCGAAGGCGTCGCCGGGGTCCCCGCCGCCGCTGCCGGCTCGCAGCAGCTTCTTGTTCCGCAGCGCCTTCTTGTGCAGCACGTCGCAGTCCTGCACGGACACCTTGCGGTGCAGGTCCGGGCTCATCTCGCTGGGCAGCTTGGCCATGGCGAAGAGCGCCCGGAACATCTGGTCCAGGCTGCTGTTCTTCTTGGCCGAGATCTCGAAGTAGGCGCAGCGCTGGGGGTCGTCGCCCACCAGCTGCTCGATCTCGCGCGGCTCCACCTCGCGGTAGAAGTCCCGGTCCCCCTTGTTGCCGCAGATGACCAGCGGCACGTCCACGTTCTCCTTGGTTTTGTTCTTGAGGCAAGACTTGGTGTCCAGGATCTGCTGCTTGAGCCTCTGCACCTCCTCGAAGGAGTCGCGGTTGTCCAGGCTGAACACCAGGATGAAAACGTCTCCTACAGGGGACGGAGGGGGCGTTAAAGGAGCCGGGGAGGGCGGCGGCCAAGGGGACAGCCGAAGCGGGGCCGACGGGGGAGTGGGCGCCCCGCCGCCAGGCGTCGGGGCTCCAGCCGCCGCGCG